CCCGTAAACTCCTCCGCACAATTACCCGCTTCGATGACACGGCGCGAGGCACCGACGTGCGCCCAGATGGTCGTGTGGTCGCCGTGGGTGACGATTCCGGCACGGTGCAAGTCTTCGACGTGGCATCGCGGGCGATTCTCAAGACGTGGAAGGAGCACAAGCAGCCGGTCTGGGTGGCCAAATTTTCACCCAGCGACCCGACGGCGCTCTTCACGGCCAGCGATGACCGCACCGTGCGTATGTGGGATCTTCCCAGCCAGAACAGCGCCCGCAGCTTCGTGGGTCATACGGATTACGTGCGCAGCGGTGCCTTTATGCCCGGATCGTTGGCCTCGTCGGGCCTTCTGGTCTCCGGTAGTTACGATCGCACGGTGCGTCTCTGGGATCCCCGCGTGGATACCCGCGCTGCCATGACGTTCAAGATGGCCGCCCCAATTGAGAGCGTGCTGCCCATGCCGACGGGGACGACCGTGCTCGCCGCCGCCGACAACAAGATCGCCGTCCTCGACATTGTGGCCGGCAAACCCCTGCACATGATCCAGAGTCACCAGAAGACGGTTACGTCGTTGGCGCTGGCCTCGAACGGGGAGCGGTTGCTCTCCGGTGCGTTGGACGGTCACATGAAGGTCTTCGAGACGACGGGATGGAACGTCGTGTCTGGGTCCAAGTACCCGTCCCCGATTCTTTCACTAAGTGTCATAAAATCTGGCGTTGCCCAGGAGGACAAGCACATTGCCGTTGGTATGGCGTCCGGCCTCTTGTCGATCAAGACCCGGCTGTCGGGCCAGCAGAAGATCAAGGAGAAGGAGCGACGGAAAGAGATGCAAGCGCTCTTGGAGGGTAAACTGGAGGAGCACGACCGCAAAGTGGCCAAACAGAAGCGCGGCGCGGGCTGGGAGAAGCGTCTCCGTGGTCGGGACTTTATTGGTGAAGGTGTGGATGTTGTGGTTGAGGGACGCAATACTGGCAAGCGCAAGAGGGAGCAGACCTGGGAGCACGATCTGCGCAAGGGCCGCTATCCGGCGGCTTTGGACCACGTACTCAGTTCCAGCGACAAGACGGCCCAGCTCACGCTTCTCACGGCGCTGCGCCATCGCTCCGCCCTGCGTGCCGCCTTGCAGAACCGCGACGAGGTAACGCTGCAGCCGGTGCTCGCATGGGTGCACAAGCACCTTACTGAACCACGGCTGGTGAACCTCTGCGTCGAGGTGGCCATGAACGTGCTGGATATCTACTCCGGCAACTTGGGCCAATCCGCCCAGATCGACAAGATGGTGGAGAGGCTGCACCGGAAGGTGCGTGAAGAGGTTGAGATGGCGCACCAAGCTTGTCAGACCAAAGGCATGTTGGAGATGTTACGGGCGTGCTGAATTGGGGCCACCACGAAAAGCGAAAATTATGAGTAGAGCTTGTTTCACCATATTGGATACCTCGGATGGAGTTTGGGGTTCTTAGGCATATCGCATGTATTGTATAGCAAATGATCTACATGTTCCTTCACCTCCACCCAGGCCTCTAAACTTCGAAGCTTTGTATAAGCATTGCCTGTATTTCACTGCAACAGCTCGGTATTTCTAAATATGGATTTTTGCTATTGCAACATGATGTCATTGGGCTAAAATGGTCCTTGAAATCCCGATGCTCAGGAAGCATATATTTAATGCGGGGTATAACAGTAACCCAAAGAGGTCTGAGATCAATAAATCAGGGTTAAAGGGTTGGGCCTATGGGTGATGCAGCAGAACAGTCAGAAAAGCTGAATTTGGAGGCTAGCTGATGCTAGCAGGTGTACAAGCCTCTCAAGCCTTCCACCATTGAGGGATTCTATTCAGGTTGCATGCTCCTTTGCCAGGTGGTTTTATACATTGCAGCAAAAAAAAAAAAAAACAGTCCACGGCTAAAGAAGGATAAGAAGGGGCTTGGCGATGCCTGCCCGAGCGATAAGGGTTGCAGCCGGAAAGACGGAGGAAGTAATGTTCCCGCGGGCGGGCGACGACCGTCGGGGTCTCGAAATGGCTTAGTGGATTCCTGGTCGGGGTCCCAAAAAAGGCAAGGCGTGGGATGGGTCGAGATGAGCCTCGTTCCTCAGCCTCTATGTAAGACAGTCAGTGTCTCCGACCCCCTCAGCCTGGCTTCCTTTTCTTCTCCTCCTCCTCGCTCCTTTCATCCTACCTCTACTTCCTTTAGTCACAGCCTGTCTTTTTATACCTTCAAGGGAGCACATTTTTCCCCCTCCCTGATTCATAATCCACAGCCAAGGACGTGAGTCATAGTCACTCATCTTCTTAGTCTGTCTGTCTGTCTTATCCGCTTATCAGACAAAGCATTACATTCGTCTGCTCCGCTGTCATCTCTAAACTACCTAGACATATACTCTTTGATACCCTAATACCCCTGATTCATCCATTCATTATGTCCGCAGACCAATTGCTCTGTCAGATTAGCCAAACTACACCCGATGAGGAGTGGTTCGACTTCAACAACTCTTTTGATATCCCCTCCGGCTGCCTGGACAGCAATGCGACCTCGATTGATTCGGTCTCGCCGAGAGACTTTGACCTGACATTCCCTGACTTGGGCGAATGCAACTGGGGTGCCACTCCCACGGCTTGTCCCGAAAACCTGTTCTCGGAATTCGTGAGCTATGACGGTCCATACGAGACATACCCAGGCCTGTCATTAAACAGCCCGCAAATAGGCCTGAGCGCAAATGATGCCATCCAACCGCTTCCTACCCTCTCAGATCAAGAGCTCGCCGGGTTAACGTTCGATGATGCGTGGCCCCAAGAACCGACCTACCCCGAAGACCCCTTCTACGCGAGCATCCGACAAATGGTTGAGGCTCAAGCCATGGCCGACTCGGGTTGTTCCACGCTCAAAGAGAAGAGACGAGATGCGTCTATCGCTATCCACTTGCAGCGCTTACAGGAGGCCCCGTCTTCCGAGTTTGTCCTGTCGACTTCCAGCACCACGTTCCCCTCTCCTTGTTGGTCGGGCTCCGCACAAAGCAGCACTGGCTCGTGTGCAACCCCCGCCAATGGCTCGTCGCCAGACATGAGTGAGAAGGACCAATCAGCGACGCCGCAGGCTTCGCCTTCTAGTGGCGCCATGGAGCTGGTGCTCGACCTGAACATGAACACAACGACGAACTTACCCAAGAAACAGAAGCCCAGATCGAAAGCTCAGAAGGAGAGCTATATCAAGGTCCGGAAATACGGAGCCTGTGAGAAGCATCGAAAACAGCACAAGCGAGTAAGTTGGTACCTGTTACTAATTTATTCCAGACGTTATGCTAATTTGATTATAGTGCAATTGCCTCGAGAAGGCGGCCGCTCTAAGCCTCACGAACGGCTCGTTTGTTTCCTCTACCCATTCGGTGGCCCACTCGGCGACGAACACCCAACTACACGTCCATGGACGTGGCAATGAGCGCCACACAAGCTGGAAGCAGGCGAACATTTCGCCCACGCTACAACCAACCGGACTCCACGGAGTAGAGCAGGCTACTGCACGCTCACAGGTGCAACTTCCGCATGCGCTCCGTCCATCAAAGGCCAGCGTCCTTGTAACTCAAAAAGATCAAACTCTGCGGGCAACGACTCAACATCCTGTGCGCCCTTCAACCACAGGTCAGCCGGACTTTTTAGTCCATCGACCTCCACAGCCAACAGCGCTCCGCCGCAACGGCGACCAGGCGGCTGCAACGTCGAACAGGAAGCACTTCCAATCGGATGGCAGTGCGATCCGCACCCCAGGCCTCGGTCAATACCTGCAACTATACAAGCTACGCCCAGACCAAGGGCTACGCCCCGATCATGGCATACGCCCCGACCACGGTGTACACCCCGATCACGGTGTACGCCCCGATCATGGTGTCCGCCCCGATCACGGTCTTCGCCCCGACCAGGGCCTACGCCCTCGCCCCCAACAGAGCCTGTCCGTCAAGGTCTCCAATGGCGCTGTATCCCGTGGAGGCTGCGATCAAACCCGAGACAAGACGCATGTCAACACTCAACCAGTGAGCTGTGGCTATCCAACGACCCGCACCCCGCTTGCAAGAAACAGGCGTGGCACGTCGGGTACGCAGCCAAGCGCGACCCAACTACCAACCGTCGCCCAATACACTGGCTCTGTGCTCATACACAATACGTCTGCGCTTACGCGCTTTGTCGACTTTGGGAACATGGTTGTATCCTGGTTGGGCTCATCTTTCGGCAAGCTTGCAGTTTCCACGTTGCGGAAACATTGGCTCGTCCGCAAGGACCTGGGCTTTTGGTGATTGAGATCGTCAATCTCATATGCCAATATTTAACGTTGTGTTCGGTTTGCGCGGAAGATACCATATACCTGTTTGATAGCATGTTGTATAATGTTGGGTTGTGTTTTCGGGTCTGTTGACTGGTAGGAAAAGCTGGTTTTCTAATTTAGGCTGGGGGTGAATAGCATTAATGCTGTGGTGCTTTGATTCTAAATTGTTAAGTGTTTGTAGGTGTAAAGAGAAGTAGAAGTAGAAGTATAGGCACAGTCAATGGTTGTAAGCAGTGGTCAGCCGTTCGGGAGGCACACGTGGGAAATTGGGGGTGTTCCATGGGTTGGGTTGCACCTGCTGCCTGCAAACAGCCTTAACCGGACAACGTCATGTTTTGTGCTTGTTGTTGTTGTTGTTGTTGGTGGTGGTGGTGGTGGTGGTGGTGTTGAGACGAGATTCTACCACTAATCTCAGCTGGATCAAATTTCTCCTGGACCGACTAAACTACCCCATACTAAGTTATCACATCATCTCCACAGCGGGAGTCCAAGAAAGGGATGGCGAGAAAACTGGCAGCTTTTCCGGCTCGCTTCCGGCGCATTGGCGACCCATCGCCCGGCTATTGGCCGCTTGACCACGATCACCACCACCACCACGACCACCACCATCACGACCAACTCCTCGCTCCCCGTCGCCAGTCGATGCTGTGCACCATCATTCGTATTCCACTGATCATGTAAGTTACACTTCAATGGTACTTCACATACACCACCAGAGCCTCGTTTTCCTCCAAGCTAACGCTCTGCAAAGCCCCATCCTCCTCGTGGCCACTCTCCTTACAGCCGGGTTCGTTCTGATGGCCGAGTCCTCCACCCCGTCCGAGTCGCATTGGCGGTTCTCCATTGTCCCAGGGTATTTCCTGCAGAGTGAACCCACCACCGACGCAGACAGCTTTGACTATGTACGGACCCTTTACCATGAATCTCTTGCACCCCCTTCCTATTCATAGACAAAAACGGCGAAGCTAACACTACAAACCAGGTCTCCGCCAATTTCGGCCTGATCCCGCGGCCCTACGACTCGGACCCCGAGTTCGACCCGGAGGGCAACAAGACGCAATGGGAGCGCTTCGAGCACCAGGTCCGGACACTGAACCGAGATGCTGAGCCCGACACCGCCTACAAGGTGCTGTTCCTGGGCCGGCACGGCCAAGGCTATCACAACGTCGCCGAGGCCAAGTACGGCACCGAGCTGTGGGATGTACGTAAACCCCTTTACCACCTTCACGCCAAGGCCCAGCTCTCCCTGACTGACCCCCCCAAAAAGTGCTACTGGTCCCTCCTCGACGGCGACGAGAACGGCACCTGGGTCGACGCCCGCCTCACCTCGCTCGGCATCTCGCAAGCCCAAACCGCCCACTCGGCCTGGAAGACGCAACTCGCCCACAAGATCCCCACCCCGGAATCCTACTACGTAAGCCCATTGAACCGGTGCCTCGCCACCGCCAACATCACCTTCAGCGGTCTGGGGATCCCCCATACGGAGCCCTTCCGCCCACTCATCAAAGAG